AAAACTTTGTCTTCAAAATAAGGGTGCGTCTTATATTCCGAAAATACGGTATATACACTAATAAGTTATTCGATCAACTATATATATATATATACACACACATACATACACTGTATATATAACAAAGACATCACTAGTTTTCACAAAAAAAAATAAACTACACTGCTAAATTGGGGACGGCTAGCACAGATAGCCCTCGTGTACCTTTGCGCGAATATAAAAAAACAAAAAAACAAATGACAAACAACCTGATTCTGTTAGTGCTTCATAATGACATAAAACTGATTGGTCTGGTTGAACAAAGGCAGTAGCTTTACACCCTGGAAGTTTCATTAGATTTTCAGACTCGATTTTGTCCTGAAAAATATCGAAAACATATTTAAAATAAAAAACTATATTTAATTTCCTTCGTATTTAACTCTTTCGCTGCCACGTTGATACATAAACAACTCTTTTTAGTGCCAGATTTGTCTTTAGATACACACACACATAGGAAAACATCTCGCTAATTTTTTGTCCTATCAACATGATTTCTTTAAAGCTAACCGCTTGATATATTTCGCAGATGATCATGTTCTCAGTACGTGAGAAGCTTTAAGTAAGTTTATTTTTAAAATTTGTTTGTTTGTTGATTTTTGCGCAAAGTTACTCAAGGGCTATCTGCGCTAGCTGTCCCTAATTTTTATGTGATAAGCTATAGGGAAGGCAGTTAGTCAATTCAACCGACCGCCAACTCGTGGGTTGTTCTAATGAAATTGAGTTGACTGCCACTTTATAATGCACCCACGACCCCAAAGTGCGAAGCGCAATTTTTCGATGTTTTTTTTTGGGGGGGGGGAGTACCTCATATCTACTGGGCTGAAAAACTGGGCGACACTCAGCCCTGCAAATAAATGTGTAACTTTGAAAATTTAATTATACGATTATTGATTTCATTGCATAGATATTTCTCAGGGCATTTTCTTAATATTATACTTTTCGAGACTTAAACATTTACATGCCCATGACAGTGCTCTAGATGGGGACGTGTGGCAGTAACAGTTAATGAAGTATTTTCATGTCAAACATGATGCAGATATTCCAAAATTTTATTAGGATAATAAGTAACTAATTTATCTATCTTTCTGCCACTCTTTTAACGTTCCTTTACTTTTCTTTTATAATACTATTTGTTTTATATTTTTAGATCAATAAATATGTTAAACTGAGGTCTTTTGATATGATTTTGAGTAGTAAAAACAGCTAGAAATTTGGCAGGTCAAAACATGTTTTCACAGTGAGAAATGATACTATAACCAATTCAGATTAACTAAACATAAAGAAATACACAGTTTACAACTATTAAAAAAAAGAGAGAGAGACAAAGTTTTACAGTGACTGATCAGTGCTTTTAGTTAGTTTTTTAGTTATAGTTATACTTATAGTTAAGGATTTGTACCGTTAGTTTTAGTTATTTATAGTTAATAGTTTAATTTTAATTATAATTATTATTACAGTTAACTACATATCATTTTAGTTAGTATTATAGTTAGTCGTATTAACAACAATATTTTTTGTGTGTGTTTCTACTTTAGTTAATGTGCTATCAAGGGTGACATACAACTTCTACTTCGTTTTCCAATTACAACTCAGTAATGATTCAGCAAAAGTTACACTTTTAGCGTGCGAGAGAACAGCAACAGATTTCATATAATCAAGATCTTACAAACTGGGAAAAAAATGAACAAATAAAACCATAATGCACTTAAACTGAAGCAGATAAACCTGGACCTTTCCTACATTGTTTTATATCTTAGTGTTTAAATGACATAGGGAATCAAATGTTTTAACCTACAATGTGAAGGATAAGCAGGCTCATCAAGTTACGATGTCATTAGTTATTTGTTCTGTTTAAAAAAAAACACGTCGAATTTGTATAATGAAGTAACCATAGGTATATTTTTTTTTTACCACACCTACAGCTTGACTCGTAATCTCAGGATTGCGGGGTCGAATACCCGTCCCACCAAACATGCTCGCCCTTTCAGCCATATGGAGCGTTATAATGTGACGGTCAATCCCACTATTCGTTGGTAAAAGAGTAGCCCAAGAGTTGGCAGTAGGTGGTGATGACTAGCTGCCTTCCCTCTAGTCTAATACCGCTAAATTAGGGACGGCTAGCACAGATAGCCCTCGTGTAGCTTTGCGCGAAATTCAAATCCAAACCAATTCACACCTACCTGTGGTATGTTCAGAGGCAGCACGTATCTTCGGGGCTGACTATAAACCATATCAGCGAAATGTTGTGGATTATTTTTCATTTTCTCAAATTGGGATACACACAGCGCTTTGATAACGTTAGCATCATTATAACAACACATGTCTACCACCAGGTGACCAGACTCCTCATATGCGTTGATATGATGAAACACCATAAACGATAATGCTGAGTAATTTACTGGCAAAGGTCGCCCTGTATATCTATCGATGACGTGAAAGTAAGCCTGAAAAAATAAATACATAAATAAAAGTATTTTGTTAGTAAACGCATCGACGAATTAAACAAACCCGGAAACTATCGTATTTTTCGGTGTATAAGACGCACTTTTTTACCCCAAAATATTGTTGCGTCAGCGAGGTCACGTTACTAGTA